GCGTCGAACTGTACTATCGTGCACAGCAATTATTAAGCAACATCTGGCTTTTATGACAAATTATAAGTGGTGAGATAAAGCGTATTTCGGTTTGTTAAAAAGAGGATAAAGGAAAGTTTTATGTAGAATTACTTCTCCACTTTAACCACTAGATGTCGCTGCAACCATAACTTTGTTAAATATTAATAGAAGTTGCCTTCAGATATCATAAGTATAAAAACAATAGCATGAAACATAGACATTTCATATTATGACAATGAAAATTTTATTTTCGCGACATTATCTCATAATTATAAGATACTATTAAAAAAAAATGACTAAACTTCTAAAAATTATCAAATAGGATCTGATAGTAATGTCTTACTCTTAAGTATATAATACTGTGTAAAACATGTCCCATATTTTATATAAAAAATAATAATTTAAACTCAATTTACGAAATATCTCTTAATTATTAGATAAATTATCATATCTATGACATAGTTTATCATAATTATGACTTTGAATATAAATATGAGATCACATCCCATATTTACAAGATGCTTAGTCATAATTACATGATGCTAGATCATGATTTTAAGGAGGTATCTTATATATTAATAATTTACAAATGTTAATTAAGCAGTCATACCGCCAGGGGCCTCTGCTTTACGATGAGGCGATGTCGGGCTAAATATTTTCTGTCAGATTAGTGAAAAATACAAATATACTGCAAATTTGTAAATAATAATAATAATTTACTGTATTACATTGTTTACAATATGACCAAAGGATTAAAAAATATATATTTTATTGTTTGTTTTATAAAAAAATATCTAAATTTTCTGTGTTGTAGTGTGGGTTAATTATCAACTTAACATATGGATGGATGGTTTAAAATTAAGTTAGAAAACAAGAGATTTTGGACCTAAATGAACAAGTTTCCAAATTCCATTTGTGTTTCTGTCTATATATTTTCATGCTCATAATATTTATACACTCATATGACTCTTCCACGCTGCAAAAGTTCTCAAATCATTAGCAATGAAAATATACAATAAAAATGCTATGTTGTAATACGACTATAATGCAATACGTAATGTTTTTAATTGGGAGGGAGTTGCGCCTCACGGAGCTAACTTAGCGTGTAGCGTTAGCTTAGCGTGTAGCGTATTAGCTAGTGTTAGCTTAGCATGGAGAATATTAGCTTG